CATATTGCTACGTGCCAGTACCACTTGCATGTTTTCTGAAAGACTCCATCTTGCCGAAGTCTTAGTGTTAAACTCTTTTTTCCCAATGGCTTATCCTCTTGAAAGTATAAAAACTTTCTTATAAATATCATTTGATCATTGAGGGTTATCTTATTGATATTTATAGGCAGTACCAATCTTTCATCTGGTTCATACTTAGTAAATTCTCATTTTCAGGGCGTCAAATGTCAATTCAAGCTCAAGAGGCTACTTGATTGAGGTGGTGCATGATTTCAAGTAAGTTTCCAAGCAATGATCATCCCTGACTTTGTGTGCACTTGAAAACTTTACAGACAGACAGAACAATCAAATTTGAACAATCAAATTTTGCATGCATTTAAAAATCCATACTACATTGTCAAGGTTACTGACTTGTATATTTGAAAGAATTGCAGGAACTATTGTTGTTCCGTGTATTAACTTTTAATGCACGGTGAAGGCATCATCAAGAAAAGATGCAGTTGTGCAGCTTGCAAATTCTTGATCTGTTCTGCATCCCTGGTCTGGTCTGGTCTCTGATCTGCTATAATAGCAGCCTTCTAGCTTCATAGTTGCTGACTTACTGCTTCATTTGAGGTAGGTGTTATTTTGAATAATTAGCCATTATTGCAGTTGTTTAAGCCCTTCTTCATAGCAGCAATTCCTGGTTTTAGTAGTCTGGGCTATAACTGTTAAAAATTGGAGCACATGAATTATTAAAACGCTGCTTGTTTCTTCATTTCTTTGTGGGGTGATAGTTCATTCCTTGGGTGTTTGGTTCATGGAGTTTAGGTATAAGGTATGGGTTTAGAATGGACTAAACCCATACCTTGTGTTTGGTTTATGATTTTAAGAGTTGTAAATCCATACCTCAAATTCCCAAGGTATGGGTTTTAGAAACTGTAATGGACTGATTTTCTAGGTTTATATTTCTGATTTAATAATGGAAGTAGATAAAAATTAAAATAAAGCTTGAACATTGATTGAAAATGGCAAAATGTTCACAAAAGGATAGGTTAATAGATTTAGGCTATCACTCTCAAAATGGCTTTAGGCCATGACTTTGCAAGGTTTCCCTTCAATACAAATTTCTGCCTATCTTTTGCCTTCCCCCCTCTCTCTATTTATAATAAAGCTAAGGACCATAACCTATTAATAATACTAGACTTCCCAAATTACCCCTCCTAAAGCCAATTTATTACAGGATCCTAAGGGGGAGTCGGGAGGTGGGTTTGGTCATACTAAAATTTTTAGGTATAATACAAAAGAATAAAAAAAAAAAACTTCATTCTAAAATCAATTTATGTGGTATCAAGAATCAAGTTCCAACCCCATACCGTTTGCAAAACAAACAACTCCTGATAGAATTACCCGTGTTGATGTGAAACTAGTTTGATGAATTAGATGGCCTACAAAAAGAGTTGTAGCTAACAATAGGTGAAGGCTGGTGATTGGAAATCGTTCGGTGTGATTCTTGATGGCAAAACCATGGTTGTTTTTTTTTTTTTTTTTTTTTTTTACAACAGCATAACCCTAAATTAATCATTAAAACCATGGTTGTTAATGGGCAAAAGTTTGCACCTGTGCGTGCATCAACATAGCCTTTAATCTATCTGGACTAACCAATTTGGCATTATCACCTGTCTCGGCCACAGAGCCTCAATTACATGTTTCTTAGAGCATTTGAGGAGTATTTCAATGCACCATAGATACATTGTTATTGATATTTCCTTTCTATTTGCCGGACATCACCGTATAACGTGACCTTATATATCGATTTTTTTTAACCTGAAATTTGATTTGACTATTTGTTTTCTATCAATGGGTACAATTATTAAGTATATCACTCTAATACGATATTTTGTAGTAACTAATGTATACATAGCCCGAGCAATGCCTCAGGTTGTTACTTTAAATATCATATTATGTACGATAAATAATAAAGGAACCAATCAAAGTACATATTAAACACCACAATCAAAGTTATATATATAGTATATTTACTTTGAGTTATATATGAAAACATAAATAAAAGATAGTTATACCCTTGGAGTACTTTACTAGGAACAGTTTGATGAGTTACTAAAAAGCTCATAGTATAATCTGACTACTAGAAATACAAAATGAAAAAGAAAGACAAAATCGAACAGAACTAGTCACGTAGTCAGCTTGCAAGTGGCAAACTAGCAGAGTTCAATAATAGCTTTATTAATTACAGCATTGCCTCAATAAGAAGGGATTAGTATAATAAAACAAATCATATTAAAGAATAATTTGCCGCTCGTGCCACTCGGGGGAGCCCTTCTCTTACCCATTTTAGGGATAATATAATACAATCTTTATAAGACGAAGGGAGTATTGGTATCACTTTAGCCGTATTATATGGATTACAGTTGCTTGCTCTTTCTATATTTAATCTCCTTAATGGCTTAATCTCTGTGTAATTTACTTAATTTTTATATGACATGTTGAGCTCTGGGGGGGGGGGGGTATTATGTACTCCCTAGTTCCTACGTTTCACTTCGTACTATAAATACACATTCACTAGATTTGGTAAACCCATCTCAAATTCAAAGTCATCAATATTTCCTTCAATATAATATAATGGCCTCAACACCCTTTTTACTCGGTTTTCTTCTTCTCATTATCTCTGCTTTCTCCTTTCATTTCTCCAATGCCACCTTTGTGCTACCTATTGTCAAGTACAACACAAAGTCCCAATACTTCACCTCTTTTCTAGTAGGAACACACCCATCCACTCGCGTGTATCTGGTCATTGATCTCGGTAATGAATGGTCATGGTTCACTTGTGACCTATATGGCCACAACTCTAATTCAACTACCTTCCACGAGATACCCTGCAAGTCACCCAAGTGTGAGCGCTATGAGCCAACAGGGAGTTTTTAAGCCGGTGGCAGTTGCGGTGTTTTAGCATACACCCCATGGAGCGACGCCCTCTATACTGGTGGTCTCGCTGAGGATGTATCGAGCTTGTACAAGCAAGCCCAACAAAACTCACTAGCTCAACTCTCTAAAGTTAGCTTACCTGGGTTTCCTTTTACTTGCGCCGACAAAGGCCCCTTGAAGGGCTTATCACCTCGTACCAAAGGGGTGGTAACCCTTGCAAGGGTACCTGTTGCCTTGCACTCCCAAATTTCCTCAACTTTCAAGGTTCCTCGTAAGTTTGCTCTTTGTCTTCCCTCTTCCTCTTCTTCGGGCTATAATGGCGCTGTCTACTTCGGAGGAAGCCCTAATTATATGTCTAAATCACTTATAACCACCCCACTTATAATCACTCCTAACAGCACTGCACCAATAAAACCAGAAGGAGAAGTTTCCATAGAATATTTCATTAAGGTAAGATCTATCAAAATTGTTGTCCTTCAACATCAAGGAAGCAGTTGGAGGGACTAAGATAAGCACTATGGACCCTTACACTGTACTACACAGTGAAATATACAAGGCTCTTATCAACGTATTTGTAACAAAAGCGACTGCCATGAAGATGACTGGGGTCACTTCAGTGGCTCCTTTCGGGGCATGTTTTAGTGCAAAAACTGTGGTTAGTAATGCTAAAACTGGTCCTTCAGTGCCAATTATTGACATAATAATGGATGGTAAAAGTCCCTTGTTGCACAACAAGAATGCAAGGTGGAGGATATATGGCGCAAATTCGGTGGTGAAGGTTTCAGAGAATGTAATGTGCTTAGGATTTGTAGATGGTGGTTCAAGCCCAACCACTTCAATAGTAATAGGTGGGAAACAAATGGAGGATAATTTGGTTGAAATAGACCATGAAACTAATAAGCTTGGAGTCACTTCATCTCTTCTTCGCATGGGTACAAGTTGCTCCAAATTTAAAGGAATTTAAATTAGATGCTACAATATAGATTCTATAGTCTTTGATTTCTGGTTTCATACTAGATCTCGAAAATATTCAATCTTATGCTAAAGTAACTTGTTTGTTTGTAACTTGTGTCTTGTAACTTGTAAGGTAACTTTTAATGGTGAACCACTTAAGTAGCACTTTTTTAATCCATGATTATTATTATTAGCCATAAAATATATTTTATAGAAATTAAGCATGCAGCAATATAAATGGTTAAAAACTAAGCCAACTTGCCCGACACCCTGGGCAATTGGGCATCCTCCAAATACAACTTTTAGAAAGCTGAACCCTTTTAATTAGAAATTCAAGAGTATGGGATTAACTTGAGATTTAACTGGTAATTTCTTTATTGTGAATGCTGAATGCCTATGCGTGAAATCATAACAACGAGGAAGTGTATAAACTATGGTATACTTCTTTTTCAATTCTTCACTTTATCATGTGAGAATGATATGTTAGAATTTTCATTGATGATGCTCTTAGGCTATTAGGTCCTCTATACAATGTCATTTAGGTACGGTTTTCTCTGATTAAACATATATGCTTTCCAGAAGGCTTTGAAACAGCATATAGGGTGAAATAGCAGATCAAGGGGTAAAAAGCTAAGCAAAAATTATAACTCATCAAAAACATGGAATGTGAAATTAGGGTTAAACCATGCTCTAGTCTCACCCTCTCATCAGCCTGTCAGCCAACTCCTGTTTATCTTCATTTAAATCTTGGTAGATTGTACTTTGAAGTATCTCTTTTTATTTTGGAAAACATTGAACTAGATTATTAAACCATAAACAAGAGTATCTCAATTCCACAAATTACTTCTAAAATGGTGTGCAAGAGAAATTTATCCATCCTGTTTTCCTTATCTGATAAAAAATATTTTCAGCTATCCTACATGTTGCTACTTGCCAGTGCGGCCACTCGCATATTTTATGAAGTACTCCATCATGCTGAGGCTGTTTAGTCTCTCTCTCTCTCTCCTTTTCTCTCTCTCCTTTTCTCTTTCTTTTTTTAATTTTTTTATTTAGCATTTTTTTGTTCTATTTTATTTTTTTCCTCTAGTGGCTTATCCTCTTGAAAATGTAAAAAAATTCGTATAAACATCAGTGAGGGTTATCTTATTTTTGTATTCCAAGTTGGGCTATAGATAATTATTGGAAAATATGGAACACATGAATTATTTAAACTCTCCTTGTTTTTTGCTTTCTTGTTGGGTGATATTCACGGGATTTAGGTATGAGGTATGCATTTCAAAATGAATTAAACCCATACCTTGTGTTTGGTTTATGATTTTTAGAGTTTTAAACCCATATCTCATCCAAACCCCAAGATATGGGGTTTAGAGACTTAGAGGAGGTGAGAATGGCTCATAGGCCACATACCAATAAATTTAAGTGTTAAATGAATTTTTTTTAAAAAAATCATTCTAGAATCAACCCAAACATGAGGTATCAAGAATCAAGTTCGATCCCATATTTCTTTGCGGGTCAAACACCCTCTAGGCCCCTAATAGGCTAGTAGTATTACCTGTGTATTTGGTTTGATGAACTCGATGGCCAATAGAAAGAGTTGTAGCTAACCATAGGCGAAGGCTAAGTGATTGGAATTTGTTCGGTGTGATTCTAGATGGCAAAACCACGGTTGTTAATAGGCGAAAGCAGTGCATTGACATAGCCTTTGATTTTTCTGGACTCACCATTCACCAATTTGACACCATCACCTGTCTCAATCCACAGAGCAAGCCTCAACAACATGTTTCTTAGAGCATGTGAGTAATGTGACGAGTATGCTCAATGCACCATAGATACAGTTACTTTGAAGCCCATAGTACAATCTGACAATAATTAGAATAACAAAAATAAAAAAGAAAGACTACATCGAGCAGAACTAGTCAACCGGCAAGTGGTAACTAGTGTTAAAAAAATTGCTCTGTTAATTACAGCATTGCGTCAAAAAGAAGGGATTAGCACACAAAATCATGTTACAGAATAATTTGCCACTCGAGCCGCTCGGGGGAGTTCTTCTTTTACCCATTTACAGGAATAATATAATACAATCTTTATAAGACGGAGGGAGTATTTGCATCACTTTAACCGTATTTTTAATGAATTAGTCATTTTAGCTGTATTTTAAATAGATTAGATTAGCTTGCTTTTTCTTTGTTTAATCTCCTAAATCTTCGTGTAATTTATTTATTTTTATTTAATATGAAATGTTGAGTTTTTTTTTTCAAATATTTTAATGACATGTTGAGTTTTTTTTTCTAATTTTTTATGAACATGTTGAGCTGAAAGGTGGGGGGTATCATGCACTCCGTAGTCCCTACGCTCCATTTCGTACTATAAATACACATTCACTAGATTTGGTAAATCCATCTCAAATTCAAAGCCACCAATATAATTTAATGGCTTCAACACCCTTTTTACTCTGTTTCCTTCTTCTCATTATCTCTGCTTTCTCCTTTCATTTCTCCAATGCTACCTTTGTCCTTCCTATTGTCAAGGACAACACAAAGTCCCAATACTACACCTCTTTTCTAGTAGGAACACGCCCATCTACTCGTGTGTATCTAGTCATTGATATCGGTAATAGATGGTCATGGTTCGCTTGTGACCTCTATGGATACAACAGTAATTCCACAACCTACCATGAAGTACCCTGCAACTCACCCAAGTGTGCGCGCTATGAGCCAACAGGGACTTTTTGCTCCGGTGACACTTGCGGTGTTTACGCATACACCCCATGGGGTGACGGCCTCTATGCAGGCGGTCTTGTTGAGGATGCATCGACCTTGTACAAGCAAGCCCAACCAAACTCACTAGCTCAACTCTCTAAAGCTAGCTTACCTACTTTCCCTTTTAGTTGCGCAGACAAAGGTCCTTTGAAGGGCTTATCACCTCATACCAAAGGGGTGGTTACCCTTGCAAGGGTACCTTTTGCTTTGCATTCTCAAATCTCCTCAACTTTCAAGGTTCCTCGTAAGTTTGCTCTTTGTCTTCCTTCTTCTACTTCTTCGGGTTATAATGGCGCTATCTACTTTGGAGGAAGCCCTAGTTATATGTCTAAATCACTTATAACCACCCCACTTATAATCAATCCTAACAGCACTGCGCCAATAAGATCAGAAGGAGAAACTTCAGTAGAATACTTCATCAAGGTAAGGTCTATCAAAATCGATGGAACCCCAATACGCTTCAGATCCTCATTGTTGTCCTTCGACATCAAGCAAGCAGTTGGAGGTACTAAGATAAGCACTATGGACCCTTACACTGTACTCCACAGTGAAATATACAAGTCTCTTATCAGCGTATTTGTAACAAAAGCAACCGCCATGAAGATGACAAGGGTTGCTCCAGTGGCTCCTTTCGGGGCGTGTTTTAGTACAAAATCAATCGTTAACAACGCTAAAACTGGTCCATCAGTACCAATTTTTGACATAATAATGGATGGTAAAAGTCCCTTGTTACACAACAAGAATGCAAGGTGGAGGATCTATGGCGCGAATTCAATGGTGAAGGTTTCAGAGAATGTAATGTGCTTAGGATTTGTTGATGGAGGTTCAAGCCCAACCACTTCAATAGTAATAGGTGGAAAACAAATGGAGGATAATTTGGTGGAAATAGACCTTGAAACTAACAAGCTTGGAGTCACTTCGTCTCTTCTTCGCATGGGCACAAATTGCTCCAAATTTAAGGGAATTTAACTTTAATATTAAGATTTTATAGTCCTTAATTTCATGTTTCATAGTAGATCTCGAAAAATTGATCTTATGCTAGGATAGCTTGTTTGTTTGTGACTTGTAATTTGTGTCTTGTAACTTGTGAGGTATTTAATAAAAATTTTAGTAGTCCTTTTCTTACAGGAATACCCACGATTTTTTTAAAAGTTATTATTATTATTATCATTATTATTATTATTATTATTATTATTATTATTATTTTTATTAAATAAGTTTTTGTGACAGGAAATTAGCTATTAATCTACTTTATACAGAGGAGAAATTAGGCATGCAATGATCTAAACACTTAAAAAATTAGCCTACTTGCCCGACACCCAGGACATCGTCCAATACAACTTTTAAAAAGCTCAATCCTTTCTGAAATTTTGCATAGTTTAATGCGTAGGAAAAAAAAAAAAAAAAAATTGAAAATTCGAGCTTAACTTGAAATAGGTAAGGTACTTGATTTATTATTGTGAATGCATATGAGTGAAATCATAATTGTCGTGGTAATAGAAAAATGGAGGCAGCATATAAACAATGGTATTACTTCATTTTTCCTAATTGACTCAAGATTTCAATGTATTTCAATTGTCATATATTTGTCTTACAAGCGAGACTGCGTGGCCGGCTGACACACACCATAACAGAGGACTTGGGAGATTTTTTTTTTTTTTTTTTTTTTATATTTGATAGATGAAATCATAAAAGTCAGTATATTGAACAACATATTTTAATGGTGAGGTATCTAATCACTATTTAGTGAATTATGTTCAAAGTTTTATTTCTCCTAATTCTATGTGATCGAGCTTTTATGTTAGGTGGAGCCTTAAAATTTTCTTTTTCGAGTTATTAGAAATTTAGAAGGTAAGGAAAGGTTTATCGATAGTGTAATCGTATTTTATTGATTTACATTTAATAAAGTAGTTAAAAATTTTTTCTTTCTTCAATTGCTATTGGTTTTAGGGGATGTTTTAATGTTTTACGTATAATCAGGAAAATAATGGCTCGACGTTATATTGTAGGTAAGGCTTGGATTATTTATGGCCTGTTCAATTCAGCTTAATTTCAGTTCAGTTTAACTTTAATCAGTTCAGTTTAGCTCTAATCAATTTAATTCAACTCAGTAAATGTGAACAAATCCTTAATCTTAAAAAAATTATATAAAATTCAGCAACTTTAAAAAATAAATATAACATTAAATTAGTAAAAATAATTTTAATTTAGTAAAAATAATTTCAATTCAATAAAAAAAAAAAGTTGAAGTGAACGAGGTTGGTCTAACCCTATGACTCGTAGTTCATTTTACAGGTCCACATGAGGCCCAAATCCGAGGCCCACAAGCAGCCCTCAGGCCTCGAAAGTCAATTTTTAGCCGAAACAAAAACATTGAATAAAACTTGTGTTCTTCCAGCTATATGAACATTCACATAAACTGATGAACCTAAAAAACTCAAAAGGCCAACCTTAAAAAAAACGACAACAATGATGAAAACCAAAGAGGAGGAGGAGAAAACAATTTCTCCTTCAAAGATTGGATGTTACATGCCTGAAGATTTGATCACTGAAATGCTATTGCGATTGCCGGTAAAATCACCTGTACGATTCAAATCGGTATGCAAAGATTGGAGTTCGATCATCTCAAACCCTTCCTTTACCAAAACACAATTTCACCTCTCATCAAGGTACTATCTTTCATTATCCCATCTTATTATTCGAGACGATAATTCTATGTTCATACTTAATCTCGATCTCAATGATATCCCATATAAGAAAACTAATCAACATATAAAAGGCAAATTTGTACCATTGTCTTCTAATTTTATTAAGAAAACAACCTTGTTAGATAAGGGTGTACGATATATAGATGTTAACGCATCGTGTAATGGAATACTATACGTCTGTATTGGCAAAACCCTCTATCTTTGGAATCCCACCATCGACGAGTATCGGATCATCCCACCACCACCTAATTTTAAGTTTCCAATTTTATTTTCCGGGTTTGGCTATGCTTCTACAATCGACGACTACAAACTCGTGTTTGTTACTAGGTCCAAGTCCGCACAACAATTTTGCACATTGGTTTATGTATACTCGACAAGACTTAATAAGTGGAGAAATATAGACACTGATTTTTTTTCGATGTGTGAGATCAAGATTAATACGGAGTGTGACTATAACAGAAGTGCGGAGGCAATTATATCCAATGATGCGTTACATTGGACATTAGAGATTAAGAGATGTGAATGTCACTATATAGACTATTTTGATACAATTGATCACAACAGAGATAATAAGGTAAATTTTATATTTAAATTTGATATGGTGAATGAAGTATTTGAAAGGGTGGCTGACCTTAAGCCGATCTATAGCAGCATTGAGGAGAACCAAAGGAAAATCGCGACAAAAATCAATGCTACCAGTGATGGTAGTCTTTGTGTTTACCTACAATACATTGGATCATTTGGCTGGTGTATTGAACCAAATCCAGGTATTGTTGAGATGTGGATGATAACCAAGTCGAATACTCAAAAGAAGGGCAAACTTGCAGGGAGATGGAACAACATAGGAAGTAAATACAAAATAATAAGGATTATGGGTAATGGTAACGTTATAGTCTTTGAAAATAGGAACTACCCCAATTCAATGAGAAATTTGGTTATATTTGATGGACGTCAACCTAATAAGCGTTTTTATATTGAAGCTACTAATGAATATGGTAAGTTATATGATGATATTAGTTGTGGTCATCAACGCCTTCAACGTGTGGTGTTTTATTCCGAAAGTCTCATTAACCCTAATCATATTTGATTTAGGTTTTGTACTGTGTTATTAATTAATATTACGGGTATTTAGTTATGTTTTGGGTTTAATTTGTATGCACATTCAATTCTAATCTTAATTAGCTACAATAATCTTGCTACTTTGAAAGTTGTTTGTGAGTTTACATTGGTGTTTTATAGCGTTTGGATGCTTAAAAAAAATAAGAAAAGAAATGTGAAAGCTATTTTGATAATAAAAAAAATAAAAAATAGAAAATTTTGACATAACTTTGATCTGTTGTTTTGCGTGATTGAATTGCATAAAATCGGATATGGTATACCATACTTTGGTCTTCCATATTCATGAATTTCAGAAAGAAAGAAACGAGTGTATGGTAATGGATTGTTTTTCTTTTAGTCTAATCATTTAAGGAATAGATCCGAATGATTAAGGGGTTGTTTGGTTTGCAAATTGGTATGAGATTGGAATCAAGAATGAAACCATAGTGGTATAGGTTTGGAACTTGATTCTTAATACCATATGTTTGGTATGCAATTTTTTTTTTCTTTTCTTTTATTTGATACCTTGCGGGTTTGAGGTATGGGTTTGAAACTCTTAAGGGGGCCTTTGGTTCACAGAGTGGTATAGGGCTGGAATCAGGAATGGGGTTAAGGTGGTATCGGGTTGGAACTTGATACTTAATACCATGTGTTTGGTTTAATTCTGGAATGGAATATCTCACTATTTTCTCCTTTTATTTGATACCTAAGGGAATGGAATGAGCCAAACCCACCTCCCCCCCAAGGTTTCTAAACCCCATACCTCATGGGTTTGAGGTATGGGTTTGAAATTCATATTTTTGACAACCAAACATATGGTATGGGTTTTAGTCATTCTAAACCCATACCTCATACCTATATTTTGTGTATGGGTTTAAACTATTCTAAACTCATACCTTATACCTTAGTTATGTGAATCAAACGCCTCCTAAAAGGTTGTTGCGTAACCAACAAAGTCAATTGATTGTTAACTTGTTGTACTTTGTTAAATAGGAAATAGTTTCTATAAATACGTACTCTCATTACATATATACTTTTAACATCATATGAGTGATTAATTTCTTAAAGGAAAGAAATAAAATATTGAATTAAAAATTCTGCTCCTAGCTTCAAACAAAACTGACAACAATGATAAAAACCAAAGAGGAGGAGATAACAATTTCTCCTAGTTAATCCATATCAAAGTTTAGAAGTTACGTGCTCGAAGATTTGATCATTGAAATACTATCACTTGTACGATTCAAATCGGTATGCAAAGATCGGAGTTCGATAATCACAAACCCTTCCTTTACCAAAACACAATTTCACCTTTCATCAAGGTACTATCTTTCATTATCCCATCTTATAATTCGATCCGATAATTTAATGTTCATCCTACATCTCGATCTCAATCATATACCATACAAGAAAACTAATCAACACATAAACGGCAAATTTGTACCATTTTCTTCTAATTTTATCAAGAAAACAACCTTGCTAGATAAGGGTGTACGACATGATGTAAATGTTTTCGCATCGTGTAATGGGATACTATACGTTTGTATTGATGACAACACCCTCTATCTTTGGAATCTTACCACCGACGAGTATCGGATCATCCCACGACCACCTAATTTTATGTTTTCAATTTTACTTACCGGGTTTGGCTACTCTTCTACTATCGACGACTACAAAATCGTGTTCGTTAGTTCGTTACTAGGTCGTACGACAAGTCCGCAAAAGAATTCCGTACATTGGTTTATGTATACTCGACAATACTTAATAAGTGGAGACATATCGACACTGATTTTTTTTCGATGTGTGAGATCGAGATTGAGTGTTGTGAATATTACAGACGTCCGGAGGCAATTATCGAATGATGCGTTACATTGGACATTAGAGGTTAAGAAATGTCAATGTCACGATATAGACTATTTTGATACAATTGATCATAATAGAGATGATAAGGAACATTTTATATTCAAATTTGATATGGTAAATGAAGTATTCGAAAGGGTGGCTGACCTAAAGCCGATCTATAGCAGTACTGAGAAAGACAAAAGGATAATCGCGATGAAAATCAATGCTACCGGTGATGATAGTCTTTGTGTTTACCTACAACACAATGAATCTTCTGGCTATTATTATTGGCCTTTTATAGAAGCACGGAATCCTGATGATGTTGATATGTGGATGATAACTAAATCGAATACTCGGAAGAAGTCGAGACTTGCAGGAAGATGTAACAACACAGGAAGTAATCACGAAATGGTAAGGATTACGGGTAATGGTAATGTTATAGTCTTTGAAAATAGGCACTACCCCAATTCAATGGAAAATTTGGTTATATTTGATGGACGTCAACCTAATAAGCGTTTTTATATTGAAGCTACTAATTAATATGGTAAACCATATGATGATATTAGTAATCTTTGTTAGACTATATAAATATGTCAATATTTATATTGTACATAATTAGCATTGTATATTTGTAAACCCTAATACCCATGGGTATATATACTGGCGCATAGCAATAATATGCCTCCAAGGAGAATTCTCCCATCTTACATGGTATCCTCACCCTCTTTTTTACCCTAATCTCCTTCACCATGGCGGACATATTTATATAGTCTAACAATCTTAATCAATATGTGGTATTTTATTCCGAAAGTCTCATTAACCCTAATCATATTTGATTTAGGTTTTGTATTGTGTTATTAATTAATACGAAGTATTACGGGTATTAATTAGTTTATTATTTTGGTTTAATTTGTATGCACATTCAATTATAATCTTAATTAGCTAGATGAAATAAATTTGTACTTCGTAAACTTGTTTAAGAGTAATTACAATGGTCTTTTTTTTCCATTTAATTTATTGATCTTTCAAATAAAACATTTTAAAAAAATGGTAACTTTCTTTATAGTCTAACATCGTTTAAGGAATAGATCTTATGCTTAAAGATCTACTGCATTGATTGAAGGATTGTTCCTTTAAGGACTTAACTAGTCAAACAATTTCAAAAAATTGTCTTATTAAATTAATTTTCCGAGGTTGTGAGATAATTGTGTATAGTCACTTGGCAATTTGACATATCTTTTTATATGGAAAATCCTTTATAAATATATTAGGTTAGAACCCGTGCGATGTACGGTTTATATAAAACCTATTTTTAATTTGTACATTTTAATAAAAAAAACGCTATTATACGTGAATATAAATAAGAATTACGTACATTTTGTAATTTAAAATCTTATATTTTCATCAAAATTATGATATAGTATATGTTCGACGTCGTCTAATTCATAGTTCAATGTAGGAGGCCATTTATTAGTGTTATTTAAAATTGTTTCAATTTTCTACGATAAATTGATAGGTTTTAGTTGTAAGGTAGAACTTAAATATCTAAATTTCAAAAATGTTAAATAGGATAGCTCTACAAAAAAAAACAAAAAAAAAATGACATCACCATTCCATTTAGGCAGAATTTTTTTTATTAAGAGAGCGACACGTGGGCAGTGGCGACGTCAGCATCTTCTGTTTTAATAATAGTTACTCCGTAATAGATAGATATATACTGAGATATACTTTTTATTTATTTATTAATTTTTTTTAATAGGCTCCCATTACACTTTTAACATGAGTAAGGGTCTGTTCTCTTAAGTTGAAATTCAATTCAGCTCAACTCTTAATTTCCTTCTTTTATAAAATATTCATTTCAGTTCAGCTCAGTTCAGCTGAGTTCAGTCAATGAGAACAGACCCTAATTATTGATTGAAATAAAATATGGAGTATTAAATTAAAAATTCTGTTCCTAGCTTCCAACTATCTATATAACTATCTCGTAAAAAAAAAAAAAAAAAAAAAAAAAATCCTATCTATATAACTATTCACATAAACCTAATAAACTCTTAAAACCAAAAAAAAACACCAAATATGATGAAAACCAAAGAGGAGAAGGAGGAAACAATTTCTCCTTCTACTTGTTACTCCTTATCAAAGTTTGGAAGTTACTTGCCTGAAGATTTGATCACTGAAATACTATTGCGATCGCCCGTAAAATCACTCGTACGATTCAAATCGATGTGCAAAGATTGGAGTTCAATAATCACAAACCCTAATTTTACCAAAACACAATTTCACCATTCATCAAGGTACTATCTTTCATTATCTCATGTTATTTTTCAACATGATAATTCTATATTCATCCTTCATCTCGATCTCAATGATATACCATACAAAAAAACTAATCAACAAATAAAAGGCAAATTTGTACCATTTTCTTCTAATTTTATCAAGAAAACAACCAAGGCTATACGAAATATACATGTTTTTGGGTCGTGTAATGGGATATTATTCGTTTATATTAACAACACCATGTATCTTTGGAATCCCACGACCGACGAATATCGGGTTATACCATCACCACCGAATTTGGATCTTTCTAGTGAGAAAGTTTGGTTAGCCGGGTTCGGGTATGCTTCTACTATCGACGACTACAAAATCGTGTTGGTTATTAAGTACATATCCGTAATCACAATGGTATATGTATACTCGACTCGACTTAATAAGTGGAGGAATGAAGATACTGATTTTTTTACGAAACTACGTTTGTGTAGAATTTATGTAGAACGCCAGTGTCATAGATGTACGTACGAGGCAATTATATCGAATGATGCGTTACATTGGACTTTGAGGAAATTTAATTATTGTCGATGTCATCAAGACGAAGATGATAATAATAATAATAATAAGCAACGCCCACATTTTATCTTCAAATTTGATATGGTGAATGAAATTTTCCAATGGGTATTTGACCTTAATCAAATCCATAGCAGTGATGACAAATTAACAAGGAAAGTGATGGAGAGGGAGCTAAAAATTAGGGTTGATGGTGATGGTAGTCTTTATGTGTATCTACAATACAATGAATCTTATCACTATAAGTATTGGAGTGATTCGAGAGCACTTCTGGCAGATGTAGTTGAGATGTGGGTGATAACTAAGTCGAATGTTCGAAAGAAGTTTAGACTTGAAGGAAGATGGAACAACATAGGAAACAATCATGAAATGATAAAGATTACGGGTAATGGTAAAGTTATAGTCTTTAGAAGGGGCTACTCTACAATGGAAAATTTGGTTATATTTGATGGACGTCAACCTAATAAGCGTTTTTATATTGAAGCTACTAGTGAATATGGTAAACCATATGATGATACTATTAGGTATCAAGATCAACGCTTTCAACGTGTGGTGCATTATTCCGAAAGTCTTATTAACCCTAAACATATTTGATTTAGGTTTTGTACTGTGTAATTAATTAATATTACGAGTTTTTATTATATTAGTTTATTTTATTGCTTTAATTTGTATGCACATTCGATTTTAATCTTAATTAGCTACAATTATCATGCTAGAAGAAATAAATTTGCACTTCGTAAACTTGTTAATGCGTAATTAACTAATTACAATGGTGTTTTATATCATATGCATGGATGCTAAATATAGCTTGATTGATTGCTAAATACCGCCAACGTTTTTTTTATCAAACCGCCAACAAAAAGTGATGAAGGGACAAAATTTCCCTTAATCGTCCCCACTTGGCTCTCTCTCTACTAAGTCCATCAATCCCACACTCAACCGTCAACCACGCACCACAAAGGCTACCCCCATTGCCACCTCCACCCACGCCACCTTGAGCACGACCACCACCATCCACGCTACTAGGACCACGACCATGACCACCCACCATCACTGCCCACAAGTCCATAACTACCAAGACTAGAGTTACCATATTTTTGTTTGTGTTGTCGGAACCACCAGTAGCCTTCTTTAATCATCGGAAATACGACCCACCAGCTTCCTTCGTTTGTAGGAGGGTGGTGGTTTTTTTTATATTGCCGGTGACAAGCACAATCGGCACGCAAAATCGGTCACCCGGGACGATAAATGGTTTATAAGGCCGGTTGACCACGATAACCGACGTCCAAAACCGGTTATCGTCCCGAGTGATCGGTTTTTCATGCTAGTTGACCACAATAACCGGCGTCCAAAATCGGTTACCATGGTGTTTGATCAGTTTTGCTTGCCGAAGATTATTAAAAAAAAACAGATCGAGGACGAACTAATTTGACGACCACCGTGATGCGAGTTCATCACTCCGTTTGTCGCCGTCGCTACCCTTCCAAATTCGACGTACGATCATCGTTTCCCTTCACCTCGGACGTAAAGCCATTGTTGTGGTTGAATTGGGAAGGGGTGGTTGTGGCCTTTTTTGGGTTATGAGAGAGAAAAAATAAAAGAGAAAGAAGCAGATGGGTGAAGGATATAGTAAGGACATTGGTATCCATTCACCTTAAATGTTGGCGGTTTTGATAAAATTGTTGGCGGTATTTAACACCCCTTAATTAAATGCTTATAGTCTTAGTGCGTTCTTTTCAAGCAGTATACCAGCACACCCCCTAATGAAATCTGAAAGCTATTGAAAGCAATCTCAGGGTCATATAATGCCATTTGGAACCATATAATATGATCATTATTTGTTGTTATAAATGTTCGTGGTAGGCTTGAATTAATGAAATCGGTGCAAGTTGTAAACCGGTAAATTGGACGTTAAAGGCAAATTGGATGGTTCCACCCATCCAATTGGGCTCCCGGAGGATATTAGGGATCATGGTAAACATTTCGGCAATTTTTATTTCCGGGCGGAAAAAAGTCAAAAAATTCCAAATTCAAGACTATTATCCACGCTTTTTGAGAAATTTTGGAGGCTTCGTGTCCCGGTGTCAAAAAGTTTTGAAATTATAGGGGATACATCTCGGGGTCATATAATGCCATTTGGAACCATTTATGATCATTATTTGTTGTCATAAATGTTTGTGGTAGGCTTGAGTTAATTAAATCGATGCAAGTTGTAAACTGGTAAATTACTCGTTTAAAGGCAAATTGGATGGTTCCACCAACCCAATGGGACTCTCGGAGGGTATAGGGACCATGGTAAATATTTCGGAAATTTTTATTTCTGGGCGGAAAAAGTTAAAAAATTTCAAAATTCAAGACTAATATCCATGCTTTTTGAGAAATTTTGGAGGTTTCGGGGCGTGCCAAAAAGTTTTGAAATTATAGGGGATACACCTCGGGGTCATATAATGCCATTTGGAACCATATATGATCATTATTTGTTGTCATAAATGTTCGTGGTAGGCTTGAGTTAATGAAATCGATGCAAGTTGTAAACCGGTAAATTGGTCGTTTAAAGGCAAATTGGATGGTTCCACCAACCCAATGGGACTCCCGGAGGGTATAGGGAGCATAGTAAACATTTCGGAAATTATTATTTCCGGCCGAAAAAAAGTCAAAAAATTCCAAAATTAAAGACTAATGTCCACACTTTTTGAGAAATTTGGAGGTTTCGGGGCCCGCCTTCAACGTGTGGTGCATTATTCCGAAAGTCTTATTAACCCTAATCATATTTGAATTAGGTTTTGTACTGTATAATTAATTAATATTACGAGTATTAATTATATTAGTTTATTTTATGCCTTTAATTAATTTGTATGCACATTCGATTTTAATCTTAATTAGCTACAATAATCTTGCTAGAAGAATAAGTAAATTAATTTGTAGTACTTCATAAACTTGTTTGTGACTAATTACATTGGTGATTTATAGTCTTATCCTATGACCTGGTATGATAAAAATAGCAAGTGTTAATACTTCACACCGTAGTACGAAGTACATATGAATGTATTTTTTATTTTATCGTCCAAAAGTCGAGTTAAGCTAAAATACGGTCCCTCAACTTTAATATTTGTTGCATTTTGGTCCCTCATCTTTCAAACGAAGTAAATTGGTCCCTCTACCACCCATAACTTACTTTTTCCGTGGAAAAAAAGATGAGTCATCAAAGTTTAAGGACCAAAGTGCCCATGTGGCAAAAAAAATAAAATAAAATCTAAAAAAAAAAAAAGTTTAGAGACCTATCCTAGTAAGAAAAAGTTTGGGGGATCATGATTAATATTTTGGTTATGATTTGCATTAATAAAACTATAGAATTTCCAAAAAAAAAACAAAACAAAACATATAGGATTTTTCACCTTTTCTCACCCCACATCACCAACAACCTGCCACAAACACACAACCCCATCTCCACCAGTTTGCATCCTCACCACCGTCATTAATTAACCATGCAACCCAAACCTCTGATTCGGCCGCACTATATTGCTGTGAGTTTGTATAGAATTAATTAAATCAGGAGGCTAAGATTAAATCACAAAATAAATCAAAGGCTGGAATTAAAAGATGGTGATTGCTGATGATCGTTAATGAAGTGCAAAGTAGGAGATTGTTTCCCCATTAGAGCAGCCAAACCAAAAGAGAAGAAGAGAGGGCTGACCTTTTTTTTTTTTTTTTCTTTTCCTATTCCTTCTTTCTTTATATTTCCTTTTCCTATTTCTTTAATTCGAAGTATTTAATTTTTTAAGTCATATTTAATTTTCTTCTTTAATTCTTGAAGTCATATTTAAAAAAAAAAATTCATTTAATTTTTTAAAAAAGCAAAAAAAAAAATTGGGTATGCTTTCTTTCCTTTTAATAAAAGTTTATACATAATAAATAATAAATATTAGTAGCTGACAAAAAAAAATAATGATTTGTAATCCCTTAACAAATGCTAACTAGGATAAGTCCCTTAACTTTTGCTTAGTTGGCAGTACTGACAAATTAGAGAGAAAGAGAGAATGAATAGCTTGATCATTATTCATCAATAGGTAGAGTATTTATACAAAACCTAAGAACATAAGATAGGAAACAATCTTCCTAAAAGATATACTTTAATAATATCTTAACATATAATAAACCTAAATATATTATTCTCCTAATAAGATCAATGCGGAAAATATATCACACATATATTTTCCGATATTATCTCTAACACCCTCCCGCAATCGTAACGGCAGTAACACGAACGTTGCGATTGGAAATTCTTCAAATTGTTGAAGTCGAGATGCACACTCTTGTGATGTCGCCTTCAATTATTATTATTTTTTCTTCAATGATAAGAACGTTCATCTTTTCGAACTCATCTGTCATCAATCAAACAGGAACGCAATTCTTTTCGAACCTGCAAATATAACAATTTTTGGTTTTTCCAGAGCAAAACCGAGCTCCAATCAAATATTGGTTTGTCAGAGTAAACCACACTCAAATTTCTTATTGGTCTTTCAGAGTAAACCACACTCAAATTTCTTATTGGTTTTTCAGTGTAAACCACACTCAAATTTCTTATTGGTCTTTCAGAATAAACCACACTCAAATCTCTTATTGGTTTTTCAGAGTAAAACCAAACTCATATCCACAGGAGCAAAATCATGCTCGAATCAACCCACAAAAAAAAAATTGCACAACGGAATTTTTGGGTAAAATTTATGAATCCCGCCAGTGAGTTTTATTTTCTAACCCACCGGCAGAGGGGAATTTTTGTGAAGTATCCCAAGATCTAACCTGCTCTGATACCATGACAAATTAGAGAGAAAGATTGAATGAATAGCTTGATCTTATTCATCAATAGGTAGAGTATTTATACAAAACCTAAGAATATAAGATAGAAAACAATCTTCCTAAAAGATATACTTTAATAATATCTTAACATATAATAAACCTAAATATATTATTCTCCTAATAAGATCAATACGGAAAATATATCACACATATATTTTCCGATATTATCTCTAACAAGTACACATCCCCAAACTTTGCTGACTCATAAGTTCCTCCACTTGAAATGGTGAGGCAAGGGTGGTAGAGGGACCACTTTGCCTCATTTGAAAGATGAGGGACCAAATATGTAACTAATAACATAGTTCAGGGACCGCATTTTAGCTTATCTCTCCAAAAGTCACTGATTAGCTTAGCTAGATATGTATGGAAAAACTGTCCAAAAGGACTCAAAACTCAAGTCAATATACATGAATTCTTTTAACAATATATATGTGAAAAGTTGACTATGATTATTTCAACATGACTGTTCTGAGTTTTCCAACTTACCTAGCTTACACGGCATGAAAAAAAAAGGGCATTTTCCAAGTATATCAATGCATATATAAATTGCTAGCTAGAAGAGAGATAAGCTAATTAAGCTAGTTCAATTCGACGTGTAAATTTATAATCCATCCTCTGATCTTCCTCTTTCTAGAAATGAGATCACTAATTCTTGAATGGTTGTTGCTAATGTTCGTTGTAGAAGCGACTCTCTTTCAAGCAAATGGTTCAAGAATATCAGCTTCTACTTTGTTTGCTAATGGTACAATATTCTTTGTAGATGTCGTATGATTTTTTTTTTTTAATAAAACAAAAGTGTTACTTCACATAAACTTAATTAATTAATACTTTTTCTTTGGGTTTATTAATTTATTGGTTTTATTCATTTTAGATGTTGAACCAAAACAATGGCGACTAAGCAAGGGAGATGATGGAGATTGGAAATTTGTTGCCGTCGCAAATATTGACACTGCTAGTGTTAGAAGGATGGAACGTGAGGTGAGGAATCTGAGGATAGCAGAGCCATCAGTACCATCACCTCAGAGGGCATTAGAAGATCATCATAATCATTGATAATTTTATGGTAGTCATCCTTAAAATTCTATAATTTATAATTAATTTTGACATTAAAACATAAATCAAAATCAGCCAATAAAAAGTTAATATAATAGTAGTCATTTTAAGGATTATCGCCGTAGAATATTATCTTAGAATCCTATCAGTCCTTGAATCTAATTCAAGATTCATTCGGGGTAAACTTTAAGTTGAAATTTTGGAGATATGGATGGTATAGTACGATATATAACTCTATCTTGATTTCTAGTTTTATGTATTGATGTTGTATTGTGTAATAGTTTAATCATGTGATATATGCATAAATATATGTATTAGAGTATGCATAGTATAGTTTTATCATTCTAATTTATGGCTTTTATGCATCAAGGAATAGTATAGTCGTCAAGTTGTGTGATCGGGATCGACAACTTTATATTATTGTATAAGGAGTAATTGTTTTACAGAAAGGTAATCAGAGATATAAGTGGTACAAGATTTGCATTAACAAGCATAAAAAAAAAAATTACAAAGTGTAACTATATTTGAGAAATATAAGGCCTTTAAACGAGAAATGATTTTAACACACCCCTAATTGATTTTGGCACACCCTTATGTGAGAGCATAGTTTTCTATGCTCTTCTCACGTAGGGGTTTTCTATGATCTTCTGACATGGGGATTTGCCAAAATCTTTCCCCTTTGAACATATACTCTTGTGGTCATCTTGTCACCCCCGCATGACATCAATCAAACTTGTGGTCTTTTCAAATTGATGAATGAAGTTAATGCATCCACCCCCAACCCCTAAATGGAAATTGAAAACTTTTATTTTTTATTTTTGTATTTTTGAAATTCAGTTCAAAACTTCAAATAAACAATTAAGGGTCGTTTGGTTCATAAGGAAAGTATAAATTCCCATAAAATTTCAATTTGAGGCTAAAAAGAGGGTAGTATCTCCTCAATCTATCTTGCGTTAAGTATTTATTTAAGGAAAATGTTATACATAGCCCTTTGGGCTACATATAAGCATTAAATTTACACTTGAAAATCGTAAAAAATTAAGAAATCATCAAAATATAAACACTAATAACACTGATTTACGCGTGTTTTTGTCATGAATTCCTAATTTTATACAATTTCCAAGAGCACATTTAATGCTTATATATAGTCTTTAGGGCTACATATAACATTACCCTTTATTCAATTAAGTCTTGATTACAATGTGCATTTTCACATGATACGTACCTATGATTTATAAACCATCCAAAGAATTCACTACAGCTAAAAGTGTCAAACCTCTAGACTGTCAAGAGTTGATCAATGCATGACTCCATAACAAATACTCCATATATATACATAATTATCCTGATTTTTACATTTGTTTCCGGTGACCATGTCAACACGATTGTTCAAACCTTGGTTAGTAGGCTGTAGGCATGACATCGATTGTGCTGTGTTCTGATAGCTGCATGACATTGATTGTGTTGCATGACATCGGTTTTGAGTTTGTGACGTGTTCTTTACTTCTTCTCAAATTGTAAGCAATTTTTTTTTTTTTTTTTCAAATTGTAAGTGATTGATGTCATAGTTAATGATTAAATAGACAGGTGTATGGTACATTCATTGTTCTTATTTTGATAATTGTTTTTCATTTAATCATCAAATGAAGAGCAAAAACTTACTTTAGATTAATTGGATCCACGGTACACTTGGGTGTGTAGAAAATATTTCACTCAACTTTTACGTGAGCCGAGGTGACATATATCTCAACTTTACAGTGTTTTAAGTCGATCTCAAGCTCTCAGCAATAAAAGAGTGAAGAATTTGCTCCCATCACACTTTCAAGTCCAAGGTCTAATTGCTAAAAGGATATAAGCTAAAAGGGTGGTTTAAAAAAATAAAATGGTACAGATAATTCTTTTAAATCGGTCATAAGTTGTGCTTCCATTTAGGTCTGGCTGTATCACTTTAAGTTGTTGCAATATTCATATAATACATGTTTGTTTAAATAGAAAAAATACTTATATATACTTTGGATTTTGATTGATTTTAGATGTTGGACCAAAAAGATGGCAGCTAAGCAAGACCGAAGGTGGTGGTGAATGGAAATTTGTTAGCGTCGCAATTTATGATTATGAAGGCAAAAACAAAGCCACTGCTAGTTTTAGAAGGGCAAATACAATGATAAACGATTTTTTGTTAATTTGATGGCATTTTTGTTAATATATTGAAAAAGCGTGGTCATTTATTCAGTACTTTTGATGAGCTGTCTAATTACTGTTTGCACCTTGCTTTTACTGTTTGGTGAGGAAATTACACATATACCCCTAACTAGTACATGAAAAGACACATGTACCCCTCAACTGATACTTGAAAAGACAATTATACCCCCAGATAAACAAAATTTGTTTATCTGGGGAATTAACTAGGTACATCTCGTTTTAGAAGGTCGGCACGCGAGATAGGTGAAGACTCACATCCATCACCTCAGCGGGCAATTGAGCATATTCCTCATTAAGGGTGTAAATGACCCGAGATTCTCAATAAACTTCTCGGGCTAGAGCTAAGTTGAAACACGTTTATGTTTGTTTAATTTGTTTAATTGATCTAATAAACGAGCTGAGTTTGAATAAATTTTAAAGCTCGGTTAACAAATAAACTTGAACATGAACATATGTATATACTCGTTCAAATATGTTCATGAACAACTCGTTTATTTATTATAATCGCAAACGACTTGACGACTTTTTTATTATGTTCATGAATTGAACAAGCTCATTTATTTATGTTCATAAACAAACTTGTTTATGCATAACTTTATGATTAAAATTTGGCTACTATTTTAATTTTGAGATTTCAAATGTCCAAAGTACAAAACTCATTTATTAAGTTTATAACTAAGCTCGTTCATGAAAAAAAATCTCATGTATAAAACGTATATGTTGTGAAGCTTATCTTGTTTGGACCCATGAACAAGACTACAATAAAAATCGTCCATGGTACACAAAGTGTCAACTTTTCACATGTGACTTGGAGAAAAAAAGAACATATTTCAAGTAGTATATATATACAGATTTTTGTGGCTATTACAAGATAAAAAAGAAAATAGAAAAAATTTACCAAAACAAAAAGAGAGAACTAATTTACTCGTAATTAAATTAGCTCCAGTCCTCTTTCCAAAAAAAAAATAAAAAAATAAATAAATAAATTAGCTCCAGTCCTCATTCTGGAAATGAGAAAATTATTTTTCAAATGGTTATTGTTTTTATTCGTTGTAGCGGCGGTTCTATTTCAAGTAAATGGTTTTGCTACAATTGCTAATGGTACAAAATTTAATTTCTTTGATTTTTGGTGTTATTATATTCTATATTCTTGTATAATACCTAATATAAAGTACGTAACTACGTACATAGTATTTATATATGTGTTTGTTTGAAATTTTGTATTGATTTCAGATGACGAGCCAAAAGAGTGGTGGCTAAGCAGGAGCGAAAGTGGTGATTGGAAATTTACTACCATCGATGGCAAAAACACGGCTACTGCTAGGGTTAGAAGACTGGCACGCAGGATATACCCACAGCCATCACCTCAGCGGAATGAAGAGGATCATCAAATAATAAAATTCAAATTCCGAAATTGAAATTCTACATTTTAAATTCAAATCATTTGTTTGGAAAATATGATGATTTCAAATTTAGGATTTCAAATTCAAATACTTGTTTGGGAAACAAGATAATTACAAATTCTAGTTGTTGTTTGGGAAACAATGGAATTTTAAATTCTAAATTTCAATACCTAAGTTCCAAGACTTCCAACTAAACTCTAATTATCGCTAAACTTACAACACTACTACTCATCTATACGCAAAATTATAGATCCAATCTGATTTTTGATTATCCGGTAAATTTTTCAGCATGTCAAATTCATCGAGGGTGCCATTTACAAATCTCTTAACCGCCCTCAAAACTTGGTGTCCAGATATTCCAAGTACACTAGACACCTCCTTGTAGATTCTTGACTAGTTGGCCTTGTTGATTTACTCACGACTCCTTGAAAGATTCGGCAAAAAAAATAAAATAAAGGATATGTTGAAAGGGTCAAAAGTCAAGACGACATAAACAGTCCTACTTGTACTTCATGATGACCAGGTCAATTAACACGACTAGTCTGACCTTTGGGTGTAAATAAAAATAATATTAAGTCAAATATTTGCATTCAACTTAGAAAAAAACAGAAAATGCTGGCTAGTACAAGATTACAGAAATAAACATACTAAAATCAAAGAGATATAAACTAATCAAGCGAGCTCTTTATTTATAAATACATACAAAGTATACGTTATATTTATTTAATCTAGATATGATCACATTATTTCTCAAATGGTTGTTTTTATTGTCCATCCTAGCAGGAGTCTTCTTTCAAGTTAATGGTTTTGCAACATCGGGTGCCTCTTCATTTGCTAATGGTACGATATTCATATAATACATGTTTGTTTAAATTGAAAAAATACTTATATGCTTTGGATTTTGATTGATTTTAGATGTTGGACCAAAAAGATGGCAGCTAAGCAAGAGCGAAGGTGGTGAATGGAAATTTGTTAGGGTCGGAAATTATCAAGGCAAAAACAAAGCCACTGCTAGTTTTAGAAGGTTGGCACGCGACATAGGTGGAGGCTCACAACCATCACCTCAGCGGGCACTAGAGCATATTCCTCATTAGGGGTGTAAATTAAATGAGCCTAGTGTCTCGATAAACTAATCGGGATCAAACTAGATTGAAGCTCGTTCATGTTTGTTTATTTAATAAATTGATTGAGTTTGAACAAATTTTAAAGCTCGATTAATAAATGAGATTGAATACGAACATAGATATATTTGTGTTCAATCTAGCTCATAGATATATTTGTGTTCAATCTAGCTCAGCTCGTTTTTTCATGGCTTCATTAGTTTACACAAATCCTTGCGCGAACAAGGTCTAGCTTGGTATCGAACAAATCCACAATGAATTCTTCAACTAACGGGTTTAAGCCGCATTCCTATCATCAGTGGATAGGTTTGCCATTTCAGATGATAAATAGGGGTAGAATTGTCATTTCATTTTATAAATGGAGGTAGTAGTACATGCATTTGTAATTTAATTGTAAAAGTTGTTATTCTTCATTATATACAAATACAATATGTAGTAGTACATGGATTTGAAACTATTTTGTATAAAAAAAAACTCCAAAATCAAACTAAAAAATGATTCATAAGGACTTATGGACTATGGAATATAGTTTAATAAGAAGAGAGGAAGAAAATAAACAATCTTACATAGACTTATTGGTATGCCAAAGTGTATATGAGTGTTTCTAAAATACCTTCTTCATTTTTTATTGACTTGACTAATAATCATTTGACATGCACTACGTTTGAAGAAGAGATTAGCGAAAACAAAAATAAATCAATACTGTAAACCCTTAATTCATCCCTCTTATTGGTAGCTATCTTTTTTTTAGAATTTTTAACCGTTTATCTAATTCCTTCCCCCCCCCCCCCCTTTTTTTTAAGACATCTAATTCCTTCCTTAAATCAGGTGCCGAAAGGGGATTAGTCAATTAAATTAAAACGGAGGAGGTATATTTATATGCTTTTCCATTCGATTTGGAACCTTAAAAAAAAATGTACAAAATAAAGTTAAAGTCAGTTTGTCAAATTGAATATTGCAAATTGGTTCAATTCAACTCAAGTTGAATTATTTTGAAATTAACTTATGCACTTGCTGGTATAAGGGTTTGTTCTGTTCTGTTCAGTTCTTAATTTCCTCCTCTCATAAATTATTCAGTTCAGCTTCAATTAGTTCAGTTCAGTTTCCAATTTCCTTCTCTCATAAAATATTCACCTCAATTCAGCTTCAATCAGCTTAATTCAGTATATCAGAACAAGCCCTAATACTTCATATAATACTAGATCACTATGTTGAGTTTAGTAGGTTACACAAATTGCGTTAAGTCAATTATTTTCAGGTCAGTTTTTAACTATCCTCTCTTTAATAGTTGGTTCATGGAGGCGGATGCACGATCCACATGGTGCATCCGCTCCAAAATACAAAAAGGCGGAATGAACATTCAGATATATACTAATGAACATGGTCATATAAAAGAACATAGTAGTCATTTATAATGTACATGGACATATACATAAAAGAACATAGTGTTCATTTGTAATGTACATCAGTTTTTTATATAACAATTTTGTATATATATATTTTTTTAAAAGAAATTTTGTATAATGAAATAGATAGATAGTACTAATTAATTTTTTTTACCATACATTAATTACAATTCATTTCAATTTTTTTTTTTTACCAAAAGTTCACTTTCTCTCTCCAAACAAAACTTCAAACCCATTCAAATTCCTCAAACTTCAAACAAAATTTCAAGAAATTCGAAATTTTGAGCCCAAAATAGTTCAAGATGACAAATAAAAACGAAAGGTAAGACCAAATTCGACATTTATACTTGTTTATTTTGAGTTTGAGTGTTTGTTTTTTATAAATTTGATTGAAAATTGTAATATTTGATTTGATTGAAAATTAATTGGGATTTTGATATAATTTTGTTGTTGCAATGAGAAATAAAATGAAATTCTTGAAGAAGATCAACCAATTAATATATTTTGAAAGAAGAAAGCAAGCAAATAGACAAATTTAGAAAAAGTTGTAGATCCAAATAATACAATGTACATTAAAATACAGTAAAATGTTCTTTCTTCATATACTTATATGATGCAAATAATACAATGTACATAAAACATGTAACCAACATTATAACATATATGTTCATTAGAATATAATACAATGTACATTATAATACAGTAAAATGTACATTTTTAATACATACATGATCATTTATACCAAATGTACATTTATTATATGAATAATGTTCTTTAATATTATCATGTTCTTTACTAATATTACAAATGTTCTTTAGATTTACAAAAAAAACATATAAAACTAGATGTTCTTTATAAAATAACTATATGTTTTTTTACTGAATAACTAAATGTTCATTTTGCCTTTTTTTTTAAAAACACTCCACATAAAAAATTTCACCTCTCTTAACCTAGAAATCTAGAATCACTCTATACAACAATTTCCCTCGTGGGTTTTGGGAATAAAATAGCGTATGTAGCGCACACCCAAAATATGTAGTATACGACTTTGATGGTGAAACCAGAAGACGAAAATGGCTGACAATGGTTCCGCCCTAACCACCAACGGAGCAATGATAAACAATGTTTACTGGAAAATCCAATACGCTAGATTCTTCAACTTCCCAATTACTTCTTCCTCAACTCCTACTTCCTCTTTTCTCCGCCCAATTTACGCTGGCAGGAAGGATCGTTTGAAGGGCACTTGGGTTCCTTCTTCTTCTTCCAATGTCTCTCTTCATATTCTTCTCTTTGATCTTTCTTTTTCTGAACCTACTCTCGTTGTCTCCCTTGGTGAAAGTATTTATGTGAGTTCCCTTCTGGGTTGCCCATCAACTGTTTGATTATATGTCTCAACGACTACTTTAAATTTTTCCATAATTCATCGAACTTTTTAGATTGATATACTTGTGTGTATATTGTTAGGGGATGTTCTGGGTCGGATCCGGATCAGGATCAATTGAAGTCTAGTAGGGTTTGGATTATAGAGTAATTGTGGGTTTATGGGTATTTGTTCATTCGAGGAATTAAGGACTGTGTTTGATGTATGAGTATGGACTTAAACGACCTGTATTTTGGATTCCCTGAGTAAATTTCTGATGTGGGTTGTTGTTAACTTATGAATTGAATGTGGCTGGAAGTTAATGTTTCCTAAGGTTAGAGTAAGATGAGATGGGTGGTTTGTTATTTGATTGATTATGGATCTGAAATGTCCTAATTTTGTTGGGCTTTTAAGGGTGATCTTATTAGTGGGTACTTCATATGAGAGGGGGGGGGGGTTCTAATACAAGATTTTATGGGGTGGAGAAAGATTAGTGTTGTAAGATTGGTGGGTTAAGTAAAAATTGTAATCCAATGTATAGTTGATTTTTACTACATAAGAAATGGTAATATACAAGTGAAAAATAACCTTTGATGGGTTCGAAGGTTAAATGTATGGGTTTGGTATCATTGATTAGTATGATAACTTATTTTGTAGATAATTTATTGAGATTTCAAGTGTTGTGAATGATTGTGAAATTTTCTGAAATAGTATGTATGTATGTATGTATGTTATAGATAATTAACTAAGGAAGAAAATATGGGGGTATGAAATCCTTGCTGCCTTTTATCTTAGTTCAAGTAAAGATCAAATTATGGTGCTTTGCCATAGACTTTCCTCAATAATGAAATGTGCAACTGTATAGATACGATAATGTTGTCTATATTCAGTGTTCTAATCTTTGTTTTCTTATGTTCGTGAATTGATTAGGTAGAAGTGGCAGTGAGTGGTTCTGAAGTGCCTATATGATCATTTTTATGTGATTCCTTCTGATTTTATCATAAATTTCAGGAGAAATGCTTACATACTATCACTAATCAATATGCACTGGCTATATCTTACATTTTGCCAGAATGTACACATTAAAAAAGTTAAGGTTGGAGTCCAATTATGTAGTTACTTAGTGCAATTTTAGGAATTATGATTTCTGCTGTGGTACTCTTTTTGGTTGATTTACAACACTCAAAATACAATGTTTGGAAACTTTATTTCGGATTGTGCCCCCTGAGCTGTGTGGATGGGTTAAATTTATACAAATCCATTGAGTAACTTTGAAGCATGGACAAATTAACCTTGGTCCTTGATATTGCCTCAGATTGATGTTGTAGCTTCCCCTCTTTTTTTTCTTGCCTGGGAACTGAATCTATTTAAACAAGATGTTACTGGTTTTTTAGCATCTTACTGTTGGTGAAACAAAACAGCAGAAGCATTAACATTTGTTTGTAATTTTTATTCTGGGTGTTTGTTTGTGCAGGAAGAACACTACATTTCAAAGCTGAATTTTACGTGGCCACAGGGATCCGATGATTCAGGATGTGCTCTCAGAGGAAGCAGAGTAATATTTGCCAGTTACAGAGATGGCATGGGCCAGGCAAGCTTCTAGACTGGGATTTCCATTGATTGCCTTCTTTGAGTTCTTTCATGCATGGCTAACACACTTCTTGCTGACTTGCTGTTTAACATTTTAAGGTTTTGCTCTAGACAACTTTTTGCAATCAGTTTATCAAAGAATCTATATAGTCCAGAATCTTAAGATGATTACTTGATGTATGTGGCTCTGAAGATGACTAATTGTAAACTATTTTCCCATGATTATCCATTTATCCAAATGAGCTCCTGACATACATGAGCTCCTGATGTTGTCTCTCAGCATCTCTGTGATCTTCTTAGACAGATTTTTATCTGAAAGACTAGGAAAATTCTCGTCTTCTGAAACAATTTACTTTTGGAAAGAAATTGTGCAGTGCTCAATGTTAATTCTTGCTGATAGGCCATTAGTGTCTTTGCTGTTGTGGTATTTGGGAAGCGATGCTCGTTTTCCTCGAGTGTCAACTGCTGTTTACAGGAGGATCCAAAGCCAAAGCCTTGTTCAAAATAAAAAATGCACTCTCTGGCAGTGCTAACATGATACTTCTTCATACGCAGCTCCTTTGTTTCCAACTTTTGAAAAACTTGTTTAAAAATAAATCCTGCTTATGATAATGTCTTGGTGCTTTCTAATCTTGAGCCTGACGTTTTTTTTGTGACCTATGTGATGTTTCAGATTCAAAAGTTTGTGCTTCGTTTCTCCTCTTCTAAAGAGTCACAGGAATTCATGGAGTCATTAAAGGTGAATCAGCATTGTGAATTTGTCAATGTTACTGCAATCATAGTAACATACATCTTCAACCAGGGTAGACACTATGGCTGAAATTTAATATCATACTTTTTATAACAGAGTGTGAAGGAACGAAGAAATTGTTCAAGTTTATCACTCAGTGTGCTCAATGAGGGGTATGAAACCATCTCTTCTGAAGAAATTGTACATAAGAAGCAACCAATTAAGGCTGAAAAAGAAAATTGATGATTGGTCTTATTGTTTAAGGGTCAATGAAGAGCATACGCCACTGCGTCTACCTTCAATCAACCAGGAACATGATCCTTACTCATGCTCTGAGGGGTATGAAACCATCTCTTTCTTGAAGAAATCTTCCACCTTGTAATTTAGCACAACTAAGCAACAACCATGTAAGGCTAAAATAGAGAATTGATGATTGATCTTCTTGTTTAAGGGTTGACGAAGAGCATAGGCCACTGCTGCTACCTTCAATTATCCAGGAACATGATCCTTACTCATGTTCTGAGGAAGCAGCTCAGGATCTTGCTGTTGGGAACACTGATGTTGCATTGCCTCAGAGCTTTTCTGCACTTCTCGCTGATTGTTGCACTGAGACTAATCTAGGTACAAAGCAAAATTATAAGCTATTTTGCACGTAGTTAGCTTTTATTTACTTTCATCGACTAACTATATATTCTATAGGAATACCTCAAGTACCGGCAGAAGATCTGAACCGCTTCTACAAAGAGGTATCTTTCAGATCTTTGACCATGTCTATTATCCAGCTGCTAGATGCTTCACCATCTTGCACCTTACAGGTAAAAGTATTGGAACTTCTAAGATGATTTCTCATGTGTGAGTTTAGGTTCTAATTGAGATGTGCAGGATACGTTTTTATTTACGTATGAAAGTTGTCCATTAATACTTGATGATAGAAATGATATAGTGGTCTATTACTAGCTTGGCGGCCTGTAAGGCTGTAACAATATATTTCTTGCTGGTTCTGCAACAAAGCCGACTGTTTACTTTGTGGAACAACAAAAAAATCTTGTTTCATGTACCACGTATTTCTTTAGGTTTCCAATTTGTTTGCTACTTGAATATTCTTGTTGCTGATGTCTTTTTTCTTCTCTGTATATTAACTTTATGCTTATTGTTTTCCAGAAAAGGGGAGCAGACAAAATCTTAGGTTAGTATGCTTTTGGTTATAATTCATAAATATGGACAGGAAGGCTACTTTCTATATCTTGATTTTCTGTTATAAAAGTGGACTTTGATCAACATGATCACAAGTGCTTGAGGGCATGCAATCATTCTCAATTCTTTCTAATACTGTGATAGAAGATTAATACTTCCGTCATACATGATACATCACCTGAGAGTGGCCTCCATATACAATACAATATCACATTCTCGCACATTACTTAAATTGAAATTCAAATCATGAAACACCTTGTTCAAATAAAGATTGACCTGTTTTATAATTATATTTCTTGAATCTAAGGGTATACATGAATGATGAACGGTCTAATACTTCAGGAATATTGTGATGCTTATTTTATATAACAGGATATGCTGTTCTGCTAATTTACTCAGCTTCAATTATCTGAATTTTTTTTTGTTCTTTTGTTATTACAGACATGTTAGACATGATGGATAGTGTCATCATTGAACTGGGAGGAAACTTGGCAATTTGAGGACCACATAGATACTGTTCTAATTGGACTTGAAGGAGACTTGGCAAATTAAGGACCAGTTTTATGTCTCAACCTTCTGTAAGTAGCGAAATTATCGGCAAACTCAGGTTTCAACCATTATCTCATATACTAGCTCCCAATTTCGAATGTACAGCAATCTGAATCATTATATTCCACTATATGCTTTAACTTTTGCTAATATACATGTATGGTTACAATTCTAAATTTGACAATAGTACTTGTATATGTATATACAGTCATTTGATGTTTGCTGTCTCCTTTTAACATTGAATCTACTTGGTTTATTACTATTATTACAAACTTTCCTGGCCATATTGAAGTCAAGGGCCGTGGAAAGTTAAGGAACTCTTAGTTGATCACTATTCACTAAGATCAGAATAATAACTAATAAGTCTGATCTCTGTTTTTTTTTTTTTACTCTGCATCATAGAATCTCCTTCTATTTAGTTAAGAAATTCTCAACCAATTCCCTGACTTTACCAGAACGGCTGATCCCAAGAGTACTTTGGAAAGTTAAAAACAGTGTTACCTAATACTCCACTGCTCCCTCCTCCCTCCCCATTGGGTACACGCGTATTGGAGCGCGAATACAAGTATGATGACAGTTTTAGGCTATTTTAACATAACTAGGTAGCATATTGGGATCTTGTATACATATTAGGTAACCCGGGTTTAGAAGGAAAATGATTTAGGCACATCAAAATTGATTGATTTTGATACACTTCTACGTGAGAAGAGCCTTAAAACTATGCTCTCACAAGTCATATGGGTGTGCGAAAATCAGTTTACAATTTAGAACTATTCATAGGTTGATTTGTCCAAGTGCCATGTGCTGGGTTTGCCTTAAGAATAATGCCAATATAAGGGTTTGAAAATAAAAAGTTCCTTTAAGATTACATGGCCCAGCCATATGTTCACCTGTTTGAAGAATTCAGGCCCGAGATCTATGGCCCAATCCTTATTACACGGCAAGCTAACTTTACAAGCTTCCATAATTTCAGTGTCTACTTTTTTCAAAAAGCTTAATTATTTTACTACGTTTAGGATTCAGAAATCAGAACTAAGAATATTATTGAAAGGGTATGTATTTAGGGAATAATGTATACAAATAAGGAAGAAGCTAGGAAACCAAATTTATTTGGTAATATAGAATACTTAAATAAATTTGGGTGTATAAGTGTATTATATGAAGGTACATTGTACCATCTGATTTTGTTGATTATATTTGGGCATATTATATGATTAAAGGCAAAATTGGGAATTTGAGAGGCAAAGGACCACCATTAGGTATATAATCCACAAGTCAAACAAAGATCTACAAAGAATCCATTTATGGATTTTCTCCATGTCAACTCAAGATTGTGATCATTTTGAATATGGTGCATGCATGATACATGTACTATGTTAACTTTGTATTATCTTTGATTTTCTTGTTTATGATTGGATAGATGACCATATAAAATGAAGGAAGGGAGTCCAATGTCTATTGATGGGATTTGATTTTTAGGGAAAAGAGAAAATTGTTGGGACCTTGTAAAGGTATGAGTACTAGGTGATAAATTAATCTTCAAGAATTTCGTAAAATGTGAAGGGTAAAGTCAATAACTTGGGTGATAGTTTCTCCTTAATGAACGATTCTTTGTTTTTATAACGGTTGCTTTTTACTGTTGGAATAAGTTGATTTACAACAGTAACTAATATTGATAATAAGTTGTGCATCGACAAACTTGTAATATCATTAAGTCATTAATGTCGTCATTTACTGAAAAACACTTAAGATGACAGTTTTACATCGCAATGAACCCATTAAGCTCTATAATAGATGGCTCTTAATTAAAAGAGACATTAAGTCATTTGACTCAATCATTTGTTAGATCTTTGATTGATTACATTGATAGGAATACTAATTTGCTTGATGCCCTATCTTTCAACTACTTATCCTCAAACAATTAAAAAAAAAGGATGAGATCAATCAATCATATCATACCATAAATCACTAATGATTAGGGACCTCAACCAACATTATTGTCATTCTCATTAAATTGAGGAATCTATTCTCCCTGACCTCACCCGCAGGTTATTTTTGCAAAAGGGAAATGGTAGGCGTGATCATAAACAACCCTTTTTTAGGATGGTTTGAACTCTTTGAAGAGACAACTTAAACAATCTATATATATCCAACAACTAACCTCTCTTTAAAAAAAAAAATTACAATTTATGATAATGCTCACAATTTTGTTTTCTACTTCATATATCATTTTAGAGTTTGATACTTCGAAATATGCTTTGTATTTAATGTCACTAAAAGATAGTCATACATGATCTACATAGAGAGATAAAACATGAAATTAAAGGTTGAAAAAAAAAAAATCAAGTTTGTTCATAGGTAATGCTCTCTAAAGTGTGAAATTTTATGGCCAAATGGATTACCCAAATCCAATCAAACCGGTTTCATAATTGAATAAATCATGTATTCATTGCTTGTTTGATCGACATAAAAAAAATTCAAGGAATTAAATTATGAATTATGTGGAAGTCGTGTTGTTTGATAGTTCTACCTTCGATGATCAATAACGAACTGCATGAATAGATCATCTTCCTACATTTGATCAAACAACTAGATGAAAATTAGTTAGCTTTCCACTCGCATGTAAATTAAAAGTAAAATGAGCATCTTAGCTTGCTGTATGAAGTATCGAATTCTGGTATGATTGCTGTCATTTGATGATGTCTTATTTTAAGCACCAAAAAATTAATTGACAATAAAGAAGTACCCTAACTTCAATACCTAAATTTACCAATGATTAAATATGGGCCCAATTGAGTTTGATTGGATTTGGGCGGTTAAGAAACTCCAAAGAAGCTGATGTTTTCAATAATGTAGTAAGTAAGTTGCATAGATCGGCTATACATCCCATTAACAAAAATTATACAACACTTTGAAAATTATTATTTTATTTTATTTTCCCTCTTTCCTTTTTGATTAATTTGAATACTTTAGATTATCTAAATTTGGATTTAATGCATGAAATTGTGTATTTAAAGGGTTCTTATTGCAAGCCATAGATAAGCTAGGAGGTATACTTACCCCCTTGCTTAGGTACATGTTTATGCTTGGTTCGGGTCCTAATACACCAAATTTGATCTCAAATCTTGTACTACCACCTCTCAATGTTTTATCGACTAAATAAATTAGAATATTATTTGTGACAATTAATTCTGGCATTTCTCGATGTATAATGAAATTTTCATTCACTCTATAATCAACTTATGATTGTTGAAGAGTGAATGAGAATGTCATTATAACTTTTCGTAATTGCCAAAACCATTGTCCTCTAATCATTGTCAAGTTTATAGAATCTTTGAGAGAAGAGTGACTAGAATTTGTCAACCATCTAATGATCATTGTGGTATAGAGGTGTAATTCTGCAAAATTATTGTGATTTTCTTACAGATTTGTCGTTGTATTGATCGGAAATGAACATCTGAATTGGCCTTCATGTTTGAATGTAAGTCATTTGCATTTAACTTCTATTTAATTTACGTCTTATTTTAATGCTTTTATTTAAAAAATGTATCTCACCCTTATAAGATGTAAAGCATAACCATCTTTCTTCTATCTTCCTGATTCTTATTATATTTGATGTCTTTTAAAAAGACTTTTTAAATAGTGTACCACGTAGTACATGTTAAAAATTTTAAATCGACTTTATTCTGTACATCTTAATCATACGTATTTTACACCTGTATAATAACTTTATTACTTATGTACCTCGGTCCAAGTGTAAAAATTCCAGCACGACTTTAGGTTCAAGTACACGTATGATCGAATAGATCGACTGTATACATGAACAATCAATCATCGACCATGAAGAAATGACCTTAGCTTGAAACTTGAGGGTGTCGAAATGATATTGGGTTTGACAGAATGAAATAAATTCTTTGTGTAAAGACATTCGATCAAACCTTATTCATCATGTGGGACTAAATAGTTTGATGATAGTGTGATCATATACTATTTTCAATTTTGTGCTTATAAGTCATTCTTACTATTTGTCTTCCTGCAGATTGTGTCTCAATTATGAATAGTTTACAAATTGACATAACATTCTATTATTTTGCATTATAAATTGAAATTAATATTCAGAAAATAATGAAGTATATTATCATCATTTGGATTAATATAATTGGAGCATTATACTTTTTTTTTTCTTTTTTAATTACAGGTATATGCTGATGTGATCACTTCAGGATTTAATTTGCTTCGCAATAAACATGAATTCATGGATTGTGAGAAGTACATGAGCTCAAATCCGAAAACAGCCAATAAGGTGATCCTAAATTTATATGATCAATTACATATATACTGCCTGAAAATCCCATTTTAAAAAGTCAAATGCTTCCATTCTTTTACTGGATAAGCATTTGTTTTGATAGTGTACTGTGATCACTTCTACTATGGAGTATGTATTTTATAAAAACATGTACGTAAAAGCTATAAATCTATACAATTAAATTCATTTTGTTAAAAGTTCAGGCATGTTCACATTTACTGAACTGAGTTGAGCTAAGTTAAACTGAACTGATTGGAGCTGAACTAAACTGAACTGAATAAAGCTAAAATGAATATTTTATGAAAGAAGGAAATTAGGAACTGAACTGAATAGAGCTAAAATGAATATTTTATGAGAGAAAGAAATTAGGAACTGAACTGAATTGATTGGAGCAGAACTGAACTGAACTGAATTGAAATTAAGGTGAAGTGAACCTTTATTTCTAATAGAAAAAAGAAAGCAAAAAAAATGATATTTTGTTAAAAAAAAGTTGTACGGAAGGAGCATGAACAGAAGAATAGGTTGTCCTAGAATGAGTGGAGTAGGCCCAGACATAGCAGGGGTAGCCACACGTTCTGGCCTATAAGCCTACTTCCTTATTGGGCCCCTCTTCTAGCCCTATTGCCTACAGCCCAACCCTCTTATTATAGATGCCCATTTCTGGTAATTTTACTCTTTTTTTTCACTACCTCACTTATTATCTTGCATTTTTTTAAACCACTTTTTTAATCTTTATTTTTGTGGTTTTGTTTTTTAATTACTGCATCTGAAAGGGACCTTTTTCTATTTTATTTGTTTTCTTTTTACTGTTTTTATCACCCTTATACGGAGTAATATCTTTTGC